TGATTCCAATACACAGAAACGCTATTTTAAAGATAGTTTTTTATGATGTTTATATTTTACAGTTATACCGAAACAATATTTAGCAAATACAATGGAAAATAACAGAATTTCTTATAGTTACAAGATACAATGTATCTTAATGATATTGCATTACTCATTGATCAACATTGTTTATTTTATACTATATTTTACAAGGTGATTCATAGAGGTAAAAGAATTGTGGTAGATGGATATTTTTGGATTGAAAAATTGAATGATTGCAATGATTAAAATGAGAAAATGCGATCAATGTTGGCTTGAAAAAGTTTAAGGATTGAAAATGAATTTACTCTTTATTTTATTATTTTCTTCAATTTACTTTAATTTTTCCAAATTTTGATCATTCCAAATTTTTTTTAAAGCAATAAATAATTGAAAAAATTTAAAAATATATTATATATTTAATATTTATATATTATATTTATATATTATATATTATATTTAAAAATATATATAATAATATATGATTAAAAATTTTTAATCATTTTTAATCATTTCTATGAAGTAATAAATAATAAAATAATAATAAAAATATATTAATATATAATAAAAAATGTATTAATTCTTTTTTTAAATTTCTTTGATTGAAATTTTGTTTTAATGATGAAATAAGGCTTTTTAAAAAAATCTGTAATGATTTATTAAATTTATTAAATTTAAAATTTAAAATTTATTAAATTTAATTAAAGTTGGGAAAAGTGTTTAAATTATAAATTTATCAATATGTTTAAAAAGTAGAAATGAAATTAAAATTATTGAATTACATGAATATGATTATATGATTGTATTTAATAATATAATCATATGATGGATGAACTTTGATATAAATAGTCTTTCTTGCACTTGAACTATAATCTACACTATAACTGTAAATATCCATTAGATATAAGGGATTAAGTTTGAATTATGATGGAGGATTAGGATATAATTGATTATCTTTGATGAGCATAGTAACTTGTGAAAATTGTGAGAAAAAATTCTTTATTATAAGAAATATAATAGAACTATATGTATTAACTACATTATAATAGAATTAAATTTAATATAATAATGATTATTATTATTTGATAAGAAATATTTTTCACTATAAAAATTAATAATTTAAAAGTATATGTGCATTTTAAAATTATAAATTCTATATTCATATTTACCTATCTTGTTATCAATATGATTACTGCTTAGTTAAACAGATGTAATCAGTGTACAAATTATTACCATCCAAACAATTCTATTGTACTGATCAAACATTTAATATTTTTTTTCAAAAATATCTTGCATTTAAATAACTTTTATAAATAGATACAAATAGATATATTTTTTAATTTTATAATATTGGCCATATATGTAAAATTATTTTAAACAAAATTTAGAATTTAAATTTTTAAAGAAAATTAAATTTAAAATATATTTATTAAATGATTTGATAATAGAAAAGTCAATATCTATTTTTTTATTTTTATGATAATCATTAGTTATATATTTAAAATAATTTTAAATATTCGTAAAATATGGAATTTAAATTAAAAAGAAAAATATTTAAATTAATATCTATTTCTTAGTTTTGGTCATTCTCATATTTATTTTATTCTTTTAAATTTTTCCCAATAATAATAATAGATTGCAAATTCTGTGCAAAAAATCAATATCTCCTATTCAAGTTCCAAAACAAATATTTAAATTTATTTTATTCTAAAGAATATCGATTCTTTAAAGAATTTATACAGTACAATCGGCTAACACGTGGCTATTGCAAAAGTTGCAATCGCTTATAGTAAGAGAAACGAGCCAGTCAGTGTAAAGTTTACCATGAAATAACGGGTTGCTCGTGAAAATCTGATTCGTCTATGTACCAACACGGAACCATCGATGGGATTACGTTGTGGACCAAGTTCGAGTGGATCTTGTCGAACACTGAGCGTACAAGTGCTACAGGTTACGGCCTTGCGAAATGGCCAACGAACGGAACTGCACAGGGGCATCGTTCTTCCGCATCCGTTTCCAACCTCCCTTCCGTTCGATTTTCTGTTTCTTTTGCACAAAACGAACTTTTCGATCAAATAAAATATATCAGATTTAACGATACTTTGAATTTATTTATTTTTTCACGTAATTTGGTGGAAAAACAATCGAAATTTTGTTTGTTTTTATTTAATTTCAATAACACTAAAATTAATACATATCTAAATAATAACGAAAATAATAGATATATGTAATTATATTTATATCTCAATAAAATGGAATATTAATTTCGTTAAAAATATTTGTATTTTTTTAATAATTATAGATTATAAAATTTATTATTTTAACATATTTGATAATTCAAATATAATTAATAATAATAAGTTAATATAAAAATAGCATAATAATAATGATAAAATATGAAAATAGTTATATACTTTTCAATTAAGATAATTTTATAGAGATTTAAATAATATTTCAATATTAATTACTGAAATATTGAACATAAAATATATGAACATATTATTGTTATTATATTATCAATAGAATGTAGAAACAGTAAGTTAAATTTTACTTAATTTATATTTATTTAATCTTCTATATTTATAATTAAAATTTCATAGCTGGAATATTCATATTTTAATTTTTGCTTTTGCATTTTAATTATTTTATAAATATATTATCAATATAGTTTATTTTTTTTCTCCGTATCAAAAAAAAATTCGATTGCAGAAAATTAATATTGAAAATTGAAACTTTTATATATTTTATATTAAAAAGAATGTCATTAAAAACGCATAATTTTATAAATAACATTAAAGAATGAAAAAGTTCATGATCTTTAAGTTCAATGATATATTCTATTATACTATATTTCGATATACATTAAGGGCTATTTTTATGAAAAATTTATCTTTAATGATAATATTCAGAGATACATAATATACATGAATATTATCAATTCTTGAATTCATAAAAATAAAATAAATATAATTTTTTTTATTCTTGAAACTTTTAAGATAAAATAAATTTCCTAACCTATATTTAAAGTAATTCACATCTATTTAAAATAATCTAACTACATATTATAATAAAATATCTGAATTTAATAATTATAATAATAATATATAATAATATATATCTATAATATAATATTTAAATCTTTATATTAAATGAATTACGATTTTAAAAAGAAAATAAAAAGAAAACTTCCCTCCGGAGAACGAGGGACAAACAAAACAAATGAACCGAATATACCGAGGGAGACCCATGAGATTTCAGACGTTTTGTTTGCCTTCAAGTAATGTCTTTAAGTAATAATACACGTAACGATGTGTAAATAAAGGGCATTATTAATTTCTGTGAATTATACATGCACATGTGTACGTAGTTCGTTCGAATGAATCACAAAAGCAAAAAGGTTGAAACTTTTATTTTGACGACGAATAAGTGCTAACAGAGACTTGTTTATATGTAATAATTAACTAAAATGTTCAATTAATTTCCACGAATCGCATTTCTGTTCTGTTATAAATCAACACACATTTCATCATTAA